GTTATTTTCGTTAGTCTTGAGGCTTGGACTCAGAGTCTGGTGCTGTCCCCGAGTTCTTTTGCTCAAGGCTAATGCTCTACCACTCAGAGCCACAATGTCACTTCCGTTTCTTGGTGGTTAACTGGAGATAAGAGTCTCAGACTTCCCTGCGGTGGCAGGCTTCAAATCACAATCCTCAGATCTCAGCCTCCAAAGTAGCTCGGATTATAGGAATGAGCCACCAGTGCTTGGCAGACTCATCTCTAAATAACCACTAAGAAGCTAGAACTAGAGCTGTGTCTCAGGTTGTGGAATACTAGCCTTGAACAAAGAAAGATCAAGGGCAGCATCCAGTCCCAGAGTTCCAAGCAGAAAGGACTAGCATGTGCATGAACGCACATGCACACACACAAGCAGGTTAATAATTAGACTAACTTTATACTTTCAAGGCTTTAGCCTCTCAGATTAAGCATTTGACTGAAAGTCTTTCTTCTTCTCTTTCTGTTCCTCTTCCTTTCCTTTTTCTTTCTCTACCCTTCTCTCAATACTCTTACTACTCTGAGCTCCTTTCCTCACTCTACCAGGAAAAATGGAGAATTAAATACTCCCTTCGGTATTTATTATGTTTCTCAATATGACAACAAAGAAGTAAAACAATGGATTTGGGGGGGGGGGAGAGAGAAAGAGAGAGAGAGAGTGTATGTGTTTACTGGGGCTTAAACTCTGGGCTTCTGAAACTCTCATTCAGCTGTATGTTCAAGGCTGGCACTCTACTACTTGAATCACACCTCTCTTCTGACTTTTTTGCTGGTTAATTAGAGATGAGTTTCCTAGATTTGTGTTCCTGTATTGGCTTTTACTCTTGATTTGTAGATCTTTGCCTTTTGAGGTAGAACATTTTTTATTTATTTTAAATATAATATTACTATTATTAAGCTGCTATACAGAGGGGTTATCAAGTCAGGTATTGAGTACATTTCTTTTTTAAACAATATCATTGCCAGGCTGGGAAGGTGGCTCAGTGGTAGAGCGCTTGCCTTGCATGCCTGAGGCCCTGGGTTCGATTCCCCAGCACCACATAAGCAAAAAGAGAAAAAGCCGGAAGCGGCACTGTGGCTCAAGTGGTAGAGCACTAGCCTTGAGCTGAAGAGCTGAGGGACAGCGCCCAGGCCCAGAGTTCAGGCCACACGACCGGACCCCCCAAAAAAAAACAGGGGCTGGGAAGGTGGCTCAAGTGGTAGAGCGCTAGCCTTGAGCTGAAGAGCCGAGGGACAGCACCCAGGCCCAGAGTTCAGGCCCCACAACCGGGCCCAAAAAAAACCAAAAAACAAACAAAAAAAAACCAATGTCATTGCCTTCCCTCATTTTCCCTCAGTTTCCTCCTCCTGTCCCTTCCCACAAGTTACATGGTTCATTTTCTACATAGCATATGGTGAATACCATGACTGAATCTGTTTACCCTTTCTGTGCCTCCCTTTCTGTGCCCTCCTTAAAGAAAAAAAAAGAAGAACAAAAAATCAGAGCAAGTCAGGCGCTGGTGGCTCACGCCTGTAATCCTAGCTACTCAGGAGGCTGAGATCTGAGGATCAGGGTTCAAAGCCAGCCCGGGCAGGAAAGTCCATGAGACTCTTTTTTTTTTTTTTGGATCCGGTCGTGGGGCCTGAACTCTGGGCCTGGGCGCTGTCCCTCAGCTCTTCAGCTCAAGGCTAGTGCTCTACCACTTGAGCCACAGTGCCACTTCCGGCTTTTTTCTTTTTGCTTATGTGGTGCTGAGGAATCGAACCCAGGGCCTCAGGCATACAAGGCAAGCGCTCTACCACTGAGCCACCTTCCCAGCCCCAAGTCTGTGAGGCTCTTGTCTCCAATAAACCACTCGAAAACCATAAGTGGCGCTGTAGCTCAAGCTGTAGAGCACTCACCTTGAGCGGAAGAGCTGAACGACAGAGCTGAGGTCCAGAGTTTAAGCCCCACAACCCACAAAAAAAAAAAGCAACAAACAAACAAACCCCCGCCCCCCCCCCTGCAAAAAAAAAGCTTCTATTTCCTGAAATTCATTTCAATAAACAGTATTTTAAATGTTCAAGGAAGTTCTTCCCCTTAAGGGTATCTTCATTAGTCTGACTATACGTGAATGCCTAGAGTCCTGCATAGGTTATTATGTCCAGTTATATTTTAGATCTAGCTTCCACATATGAGATAAAACATGTACACTCTCTCTGAGCTTGGCTTACCTCACTCAATATGATTTGTCCTAAAGCTATTCATTTCTCTGCAAATGACATTATTTTATTCTTTCAAATGGATGAGTTTGCATTGTATATATGTACCACACTTTACTGATCTACTCACTCATCTACTGAAGGGAATCAGGGCTATTTACACAACTTGGCTATTGTGAACATAACACAAGTTTTTAAGACAGAAAGTCAGAGTTTAATTCTAGTTTCCATAATTAATTGTGTAACCTCTACATTAGTTAAAACAAGTTTGCTCAACTGAAAAATAAAAATAATTGCACCTTCACAGAATTGTATTGAGAACTAAGTTAAAGCCAGGCACCAGTAATTCATGTCTGTTGTCCTAGTTATTCAGGAGGCCAAGATCTGTAGGACTGTGGTTCCTGTGCAGCAAGAAAGTCCTCAAGCATCCTATATTTCTAATTAACCAGCAAAAAAGAGAAAAAGAAAAGAGCTGAGAGGATACTAATGGCTCACACCTGTAATCCAGTTACTTAGAGGTGGAGGGTCATGGGTTAATGTCAGCTCAGGCAGAAAAGTACAAGAGACTCCATCTCCAAAATAACCAGTAAAAGGCTGGGCTGGAGATGTAGCTCAAGTGGTAAAGCATCACCAATGAACAAGCAAAGCCAAACAAGCACAAGGCCCTGAGTTTAAGCCTTAGTACTGACAAAAAATAAATAAATTTGTAAATTGTCCAGTCTAACACACCGTGGGGCTTATTGAAACAAAAGGAGAACTGTATTCTGTGTATACATTTTCTATGAATGTTGTAGATACAGATGGATCCACTATCCTGAATATAAGAATGCCTCTAACTACAGGATTCTGTACTGACATAAATACTCCTTATCTTGGTAGTCTCCTTGATTTTATTTATTTATTTTTTAATTTTTTTTGTCGGTCATGGGGCTTGAACTCTGGGCTTGGGCGCTGTCCCTGCGCTCTTCAGCTCAAGGCAAGCGCTCTACCACTGGAGCCACAGCACCACTTCTGGGTTTCTAGTGGTTTATTGGAGATAATAGTCTCAGGGACTTTCCTGCCTGGGCTGGCTTTGAACCACGATCCTCAGATCTCAGCCTCCTGAGTAGCTAGGGTTACAGGTGTGAGCCACCGGCTCCAGACTTTCCTTGATTTTAAAAATAAGTCAGTGCAGAGAAATTTGAATATACTCTTGGAACATGAAGTAGTTAGTGATATTTATAAGCTAGGCATTTAAGAAGCACTTCAACATTCTATATAAAACAATAAATTAAAAATATAGCATTATACTTTAAAATTTGGATCAAAACTACTTCTCCTTACTTAGACCATGTGAAAAATACCTGAACTATTTCCCAGGCACAGTTCCCATGTTAGAGCCTCAGTATAACAGCAAGCCAGTTGCCAGTGCCTCTTCCAACTCATTTTAACCTTGTAACTAATCTTATACTAGTTGACTAATTCTATTCTCTAGTGAGTTATATACACTAGTATCCAACAGTCATTTATAAAAGTAAACAAGTCACTGGGACTCATAATAGGTCACACAATATTTCCTAAACCAGGGGCTGGGAAGGTGGCTCAGTGGTAGAGCGCTTGCCTTGCATGCTCAAGGCCCTGGGTTCGATTCCTCAGCACCACATAAGCAAAAAAAAAAAAAAAAAAAGCCGGAAGTGGCGCTGTGGCTCAAGTGGTAGAGTGCTAGCCTTGAGATGAAGAGCTGAGGGACAGTGCCCAGGCCCAGAGTTCAGGCCCCACGACCGGACCCAAAAAAAAAAAAAAAAAAAAATTTCCTAAACCAAGCTCAAATTAAACAAAATATCCAAGAGAGAAACTATGTTATGTTTTTCTGTGTAAAACTTCAAATTATAGCCAAGAATAAATTGCATTAAGGTACATGCCAATCAATATCAGTCCAACTGCAAGTCTGTGTCACAAAGGACACTGGATGAATTCAAGCCAAGCCAAAGGGCTTAGGTTATATGGGAAACATAGTAGCACATGAAACCAAAGGCTCAAATGGAAGAGTAGAATTAGAAATTAGTAGGTAGAGAAATAAAGCTAATAGTCCAGCTGCGATCAAGTTCAATACCAAAGGGCTATAAAGACAAGGTTTCTTTTGAGAAAATAAGACAAAAACAATATCAAATTGGAAATTCAAGGAAAAAGTAAGGATAAATGTGCTGAGGGCAGGAAAAAAAAAAAACTTCAATACCAAACCCGAAGGCAATAAATGGAGAATAAGAGTGGTAATGTCCTACAATAATTAAAAAAGAGCAAAAGCCTTCAAGAACAAGAAGTACAAGTTTTGTTTTGGGTTTTTTGGTTTTTTTTGGTCAGTCATGGAGCTTGAATTCTGAGCTGTCCCTAAGGCTCTTCAGCTCAAGGCGAGTACTCTACCACTTGAGCCACAGTGCCACTTCCGGTTTTCTGGTGGTTACTGGAGTTAGAGTCTCATGGACTTTCCTGCCCAGGCTGGCTTTGAACCATGATCCTCAGATCTCAGCCTCCTGAGTAGGTAAGATTACAGGTATGAGCCACCAATGCCCAGCTAAGTATCATTTTTAATTGAAGAATAACACACACTCACTGGGTTCATAAAAGGAACTGAGAGATTTACCATGGCCTGCAGTTAAAAAAACAACAACAAAAAAAAACATCAGAGTTCTCTATCTATAGCAACTAAAATAGTAGTTAATTTCTAAGCTTAAGACTCAGAAATGTCCTGGAAAGCATTGCAGCACAGGTAAGCCATAGCTCCAGCAGGCCTTTTCTAGGATGGGCTAGAGTGACCATACTTACTGGAGTCCTCCCATTGGAGTAAGTGTAGCTTCCATGCAGAGTAATACAAAAATCCCAGTACTAAAAAGAGGCAAAGGGCTAGCAGCAGATTGCGCACAAATACCAAGAGTCCCATCTTCACATGATTTACAATTTCCGACATGACCTAAAAAAATAAAAATAAAAATCAGTCTTAAAAGAGAACATAATCATCTTATTGATATACTCTAAGAAGAAGTATCAGCCGGGCACAGGTGGCTTATGCCTGTAATCCTAGTTATTCAGGAGGCTGAGATCTGAGGATCACAGTTCAAAGCCAGCCCGGGCAGGAAAGTCTATGAGACTCTTATCTCCAATAAACCACTAGAAAACCGGAAGTGGCATTATAGCTCAAGCGGTAGAGCGTTCGCCTTGAGCTGAAGAGCTGAGAGATAGCACTCAACCCCAGAGTTCAAGCCCCAAGACCAACAAAAAAAAAAAAAAAGAAGAAGAAGTATCTATAGAGAGAAGTTCCAAATGAAGAGCAATCACTAAGCTTATGATATAGCATCTCCAGCCTGCTCATCTCAATCTCAAGGAACAGCTTCAAGGAACAGCATAGCAACCAAGTGAGAAATCAGTGGCTACCCTTGTGCATATAACATCTGGCTTTAGCTTTTCTCCAGGTAAACTTATTTGCTTTTCAGGAAAGAATAATAACAAACACAGGAAATAATCATTATAAACATACATGTCCAATACAGTTGTTATCCAAATATATATGACACATTATTAGCTACAAAAGAGATATACTCCAATATAGTAATAGTTGGGGACTTCAATACTCCACTTTTCATCATTGAATAGATCATCTAGACCAAAAAGATCAACAAAGATCAGTCAACAAAGAAATATCAAAGAAACCAAAGGGACTTAACAGATGCTACAGATCATTTAACTCATCAGCTGCAGACTTTACATTCTTCTCATCAGTACATGTAATATTCTCCAGAATAGACTTTACGTTAAACAAAACAAACATGGTAAAAATGCCAACCAGCAAATTCTTTGGAGAGCAATTTAGAAATACTTACTGAAATTTAAAATATTCTTCCACCTTGACCAGTACTCCTACCAATATCACTTTTCCTTTAAGTAACAGTGCAACAAATGGAGAAAATGACAAATAGGATTGTTCATGGCAACTCTGGTTATAAAAGCAAAATACTACAAACAGTTAAAATGCCTAATAACAATGGCATCAGCTGGGGTCTTGACAGCAAACAGATGGTACATACAAAGAACTAAACTGAAGGAGGCTTAACAGCAGGATTTCTAAAACTGTTAGTAGAGCTAAAAAGAACTGACAAGGAATGATAACACAGACAGAGACTAGCAAAGGCAGGAGCTGAGGCCAGAAGGGCATCACTGGAGTCTGACAACAGCTGGCTGAAGAGAAGCTGGTCATCTGCACCATGGCCTCTACTAAAACCCTGGCAATAGATCATATAGTCTGACCTCTCTCAAAACTTGCCCTCTCATCTCCTGTTGATGTCTGGTCAGCTGATCCCAAATGGAAGCCAGAGATCAAGGGAGCTCAGGTAATTCAATACAGAAGTCATCCATTAGCATACTGAGCAAACAGGTGAATAATTCCTCAAGGGCAGGAGAATAAGTACAGAATATGATGTACCAATCAGACAGAATAAGGCACACCAGGTGCTGGTTGCTCACGCCTGTAGTCCTAGCTACTCAGGAGGCTGAGATCTGAGGATTGAAGTTCAAAGCCAGCCCAGACAGGAAAGTCCCCATGAGACTCTTATCTCCAATTAACCACTCAAAAACCGGAAGTGGCGCTGTGACTTAAGTGGTAGAGCACTAGCCTTGAGCTGAATTGCTCAGGGACAGTGCCCAGGCCCAGAGTTCAGGCCCCACGATCGACTAAAAAAAAAAAAAAGTATCTAGAGGAAAGGTATGTGTATGTGTAACCTTATACCAGCAAGAACAAATACAACAGTAACTTTAGAATTAAGTAGATTTGGAACTGATGTTTTCAGCACTTATTTATTCATGTACTTATTTTTAATAAGTTTTTAGACAAACAAAAGTCAGAAGTATCATGACTGTATAGCTTGTCCAAACAAACTCCCCTGGAAACAATTAAAATATAGGGTATAAACAGCCTACAAGTGATTCTGGAAAGCTTTTTATTCCCTTTTAAGAAGGGAATTGAAGCATTTCACAACAATTTCTGTCTTAAATGCAAATGTGATTTCTGATTTGTCACAGCCAGGCACTGACTACGACTCAGGGCTCTGGCACATCCAACAGTGAGTCAACAGTTACTGACATCAACTACAGAAGCAAGGCTGTACCAACCACCTTCCTAATTTCAATCTTTTCCATGAAGAAAACAATTCTATGAAGAGAGTAGGACATCTTAAACTAAACAACAAAGAAAAATGTGACAAAAACATACATCATGTTTTATTTACTATCTGGTAAGCTCTCCTGCCTGAGCTTCCTAATAACTTAAATTACAAGTATATACCACCACATCTAGTCCTAACCAAAGTCTTGTTAACCCCACTACTTCCTCTAGCCAATTCTTACTTAAGTTCTTAAGTCTCCGCTTAAAGCCTAATTCATTCCACAGGTAAGTGTAATCTGTCCCCATACTTCAGGCTAAAACTCCCTGCCAGATATTCCCATAGCCCCTATATGCCCCATGGCATTCATGACATACTTACAATTTTTTAAGAATTTACAATTTAAGCCGGGCGCTGGTGGCTCACGCCTGTAATCCTAGCTACTCAGGAGGCTGAGATCTGAGGATCGCGGTTCAAAGCCAGCCGGGGCAGGCTCAAGTGGTAGGGCACTAGCCTTGAGCTGAAGAGCTAAGGGACAGCGCCCAGGCCCAGATTCAAGCCCCATGACCAACCAAAAAAAAGAATTTACAATTTAATATTTACTATTTACATCCTAGCTCACCCAAGCAGGGAATATATGTGCTTCATTCACCTTTAGACCTGTGGTAGGGACTCAAAAAGTATCTGTTCACTAATTGATGGTCAGTTATATCACGCTTCAAAAGAAACACATGGGGCTGGGAATGTGGCTTAGTAAGAGGGCTTGCCTAACCTGCATGAAGCCCTGAGTTCGATTCCTCAGTACCACAAAAACAGAAAATGCAGGAAGTGGCGCTGTGGCTCAAGTGGTCGAGTGCCTGCCTTGAGCTAAAGAAGCTCAGGGACAGTGCCCAGGCCCTGAGTTCAAGCCCCAGGGCTGGCAAAAAAGAAAAGGGGGGGGGGGGGCTGGGAATGTGACTTAGTAGTAGAGTTCTTGCCTAGCATGCATGAAGCCCTATGTTCAATTCCTCAGCACCACATAAACTGAAAAGGCCAGAGGTGGCGCTGTGGCTCAAGTGGTAGAGTGCTAGCCTTGAGCACAGAGACACTCAGGGACACTGCCCATACCCTGGAGTTCAGTCCCAGGACTGGCAAAAAAAAAAGAAAGAAAGGAAGGAAGAAAAAAAAAGAAAAAGAAGCATGTATAAAACTTCGAATTTCCTGAAAAAAAAAGGACATATGACACAGAAAGCTGGATTACCTTAATTAGTCATAAAAAGAAACATGTAGGGGCTGGGAAGATGGCCTAGTGGTAGAATGCTTGCCTAGCATGCATGAAGTCCTAGGTTCAATTCCACAGTACCACATAAACAGAAAAAGGCAGTAAGTGGTGCTGTGGCTCAAGTGGTAGAGCACTAGCCTTGAGCTGAAGAGCTGAGGGACAGTGCCCAAGCCCAGAGTTCAAGCCCCATGACTGACCAAAAAAAAAAAAGAAAGAAAGAAACATGTTTAAAACGTTGAATTTACTGAAATAAACTGTACCAAACTCTTGCCAATTATAAAACACCCTACAATATGATTAGCTTCTTAACTACACCTGGTCACAATCTTTAATCTGATTAAATTGATCTTCAAATGTCAACCATAACTGTACCACCTATGATCTCACTTATGACAAAATCAGAGCAAAAACAAAACCCCCTAAAAAAACCACAAAGTACTTCCAGAGCATATCTCTGGTAAATACTTTTGAGACTAGTTAGAAATTATATATCACTTATTATCCAGCTTCTAAACCAGCTACTGAAAAGCTCACCAACTTTTAAAAAATGTTTCTGCTAAAATGCACCCCTGTAACTTAGACTATGCATGATCAAACAGATTTAAGCAATTAACATGAAATCTATTAAGTTATTCTGCTCAGAATAACTGTGCACTTTCTCATTATAAGTCACTGTGAGGAATAAGGTAATTATGAAATTACTATTGCTAACATTCATTTACTACTTAGTATGGACCAGTCACAGTTCTAAGAACTTTGTGTGATTTAATTCATTAAATTTTTTGTCAATCCAAATGAAGCTATCATTCCTGCTTTATAATAAAGGAATTCAAACATAAAGAACTTAAAGTACCTTGTCCAAAAATCGGAAGAGGCAGGATTCAAATTTAGATGATCTGGCTTCAGCCAGTTACCTCTCTAAATAATGATAGGGACTAAAAGTACAATTCAGTCATAGAATATGTGCTTAACATTCATGATATCCTGGGTTCAAATTCTCAGCACCACTAAGAGAGGGTGGCTAATATTAGAATAATAATAAAAAGGAATCAGTACAGACAAATCTACATAAAAATATTGCTACAAAGAGGAGAAAAAAAAATGAAGGGTGAGAGCAAAGGGAGGAAGAGCATAGGAGATGAAAAACGTTTTATCAAAAACAGATAAAGATCATTAACAAAGGTTAGAAGTATAGCTCAGTAGTAGACCACTTGCCTGACATTCATAAGGCCCTGGATTTAATCACCAGCATTACAGGGAAAAGAAAAAAGAAAAAGATCACTAGTAAAAACTAAAGCCAGAGGCAGAGACTAAGGAAGAGCTCCAGGGTAAAATAGATTATTACTTAATATTACACTGCTATGACCAATACTAAGAAAAGCAACTTAAGGGAGGATTTCAAAGGGTTTAGTCCTTGGTGATCTGACTCTGTTTCTGGGCCAGTAGAGGGGCAGTACATCACCTGGGCAGGAGCATAAGGTAGCATCAGGCAGCTGGATAGCAGAAAAATAGCAGTAACAGAAAGGAATCAGGGCAAGATATAGCCCCAAGGAGACA